TTGTTCAGTTTCAATGTGTTTACTCTTTTTCCATTGATCTTCCTATTGTTGATTTCTAATTTCACAGTATTGTGATTTCAGCAGATGCTTTGCAGTATTTCAATGTTTTTAAATTTATGAAGGCTTGCTTTATGGCCTAACATATGGTCTATCATGGAAAATGTTCCATGTGCACTGGAAAAGAATGTATATTGTGCTGTTGTTGTGTGAAGTGCTCTGTAGATGTCTATAAGTCAAGTTGGTGGGTTGTATTATTTATCTCTTCTGCATCTTTGTTGAGTTTCATTCCAGTTGTTCTGTCTTTCACTGAAAGTGGTGTATTAAATTCTCCAACTATGACTGTGGAGTTATCTATTTGTCTTTTCAACCCTTTAAAGTCCGATTTATATATTTTGGGGCTCTTTCATTGGATCCATAGATATTTGTTATGGTTATATCTTCTTGTTCAATTGATCCTTTAATCATTATATAATGTCCTTCCTTGTCTTTTATGGTGGTTTTTGTCTTAAAGTCAATTTGACCAGAAATTAATATTGCAACTCCTGCTCTTTCACAGTTGCCATTTGCTTGATACATCCTTTTCCAACCTTTGATTTTTAGTCTATTTTTGTCTTTGTCTCTAAGGTGTGTCTCTTGTAGACAGCATATTGATGGATTTTGTTTTCTTATCCAATCTGCAACTCTCCATCTCTTGAGTGGTGCATTTAATCCATTAACATTCAGTGTAATTATTGACAAGTATGAATTGGTTGCTGTCATTTTGTTTTGAGTTTTCTCGTGGTGTCTCTGGTTTCTTTGTTCCATATTATTTTCTGTGCTGAGCTCATTATGTTTATAAATCATGTTATCATTTCCTTTGTTGCTGTTGTTTTAGTATTTGCTGAATATTTGTGTTTATCCTTTTTATTGTGATGTGAAGGCTTATCATTTTTCTTTGAGGTTACCCTGTGATTTATAATTTTCTCCCCGAGTTTGGAGTAGTCGATTCTATCTTGCAACTTGCCAGCCTTCTTCTTACTTACTTTGGTCATGTTGTCAGAAGGGACCAGTCCCTAGAGAAGGATATCATGCTTGGTAAAGTAGAGGATCATCAAAAAAGTGGAAGACCTTCAATGAGATTCATTGACACAGTGGCTGTGACAATGGGCTCAAACGTAGCAATGATTTTGAGGATAATGCAGGACCAGGCATTGTTTCATTCTGTTGCACATAGGGTCACTATGAATCAGAGCTGACTTGATGGCATGCAACAGTGACATATTTTGAGGCTGTGTTATTAAATTCATAAAAATTTAAATTTTCATTTCTATGGACTTGTTCTCTTTATCATTTGTTAGCTCTTGGAATGCTTCTTGAATTAATGTCTACTTTGTGTGATGTTAGTACAGCTACATTAGCTTCTTTTGGTTGTGTATGAAACAAAAAAAAGATGATGCACTTTTCTCACATGTTGAGAAGTTCAGGGATGGGCAGTCCAGGAATTGTAGTTTTTTAACTGAACATATTTATATCCTGAATAAAATTGGGATGCTGTTAGTAGGAAAGAAGAGGAAAGTTGATATTGGGTGGCAGCTAGTTGTGTTTGCTGTATCATTTGTTAGGGAATGTGGGAAAGAGTCCACCTCAGGTTGGGAAGTTGGCACAGATTTTAAGTTGTTGCCCATCACTGTATTTCTATACTGTACTGTGTTTCAGCATAGCCTTACTGATCAATGAGATAAGAAGGGATCATGGCAAATCCAATCTCTTTATGGCCCAGTCTCATTTGTCAGGGATCTGACCATACTTGGGGTCAGATTTTCAGTTCTCCATGGGCCCAAAATAAAACAATGGTAATGTATTAATTAGGATTTCTTGGATTACAAATGACAGAAACCCAAACTAAACTAACTTCCTCCAAAAGTCTATATGCAAATTAGTCTAGAAGCCTCAATCATGTGATTTTTTTTTCAAAGTCTTACAGCTAATTGGTATTTAGGCCCTTTGACCCAGCTACCACTTTCCCCTACCATCCTGTGGCACTTCTGTTATCTCCCTGAATACTTGCTTTCTCGCCCCTTTTGATTACATCACTTCTTTATAACCATTTATAGGGCATCCAGACCATTGAGGGCCTGAGGAAGCTCCCTCTCCTTCATGCCTTCATCCTCATTCTGGTTTGAAAGTGCTCACTTGGCAAACTTACAACAAAAGCCCAAGCTCCTGTGATAGCTGTACCATTACCATTTTCCCTGGGGAATCACTGTTAGGGCCTGGAAACTAACACTAATCTTGAAAGCAGTGGAGCACCAGTCAACAACCTATATGTTACACTTGGTCTTAGTGGGACAATGGCAGCATTCAGTTCTTTGGGCTCCACATCCCTGGAGTAGAGCATGGCTATGAACTTACTCAGTTAGGTCACACTTGACCGTTTGATTGGAAAATTCAAAGTAAGCACCAGTGATCTCCCAATATAAGTGCTACAAAACCACGGTGATGGGTGAATAGATCCCCAAAAAGTAGATTTTGAGGTAGGGTATCTTACTGGCCTAGCACTCTAGAAGATTTGCTTTCAAGACACCACCGAAGTGCAGGGAGACAGTGACAGAAGAAAACATCTAGCCAAAGCAGTGACTGAGGTTGGTGTAGGTGTGGGTTCTCAAAGTTCAGGTTGAAGTGGCCTGTGTAGTAACTGGTTTCATTGTCTCTCAAAAGGACTCAGTCAGGAGGCTCCAAGGTAGTGTGGTAGTCAGGGTAGAGCTGCAGGGCTCCCCACTGTTGGCAACACCTGAGAACTGGGTGGATGGTCGATTCAAGCTTGGACTTCTTGTCATAGTCAAGAACAGCTCCTTCATCCCAGCAAGGTAAGGTCTGGTCCAGGGCTACACCTAGAGCTAGGGAAGGGAAGATCAGGAAGTCTCATAGCCCTATGCACTGCTCTGTCAGTTTCTGGCTGAACTCCAGTATTGGATCACTGATCTCTTTTTTCACATGCAGTGGCCACAGGCCTAATTATCAGGAGATTTTCCTCATCAGAGATTAACTGTTCAGGTGGAAGAGCTCATCTATATGAACAGGAACAGGTTCACAAAGACCTCCAGGGATGCATGCTTGCCGACCCAACTTTCTGAAGGTGTTACAGCCACATCCTTGAGTTTGGTCACTTGACTTAGTACCACCAGGCTGGATATGTTCTCCAGGCAGTGGAGTATCCATAGAGATTGTAGATGTTCAGTTTTAGATGCATTACAAGCCTCTGGCAATTCCATGAAATCCCAGAAAAATATTTTTATATGTCCTAGTACTCCTTATAAAGAGCTCTGGTGGCACAGTGCCTAAGGCATTTGACTGCTAACCAGAAAACTGGTGGTTCAAACCCATCAGCCACTCCATGGAAGGAAGAACTTCCGTAAAGTTTTACCACTTGGAAACCCGAAGGGGGTTGCTATGAGTCAGAACCGACTTGATGGCAGTGAGTTTGTTTTTTTTGGTTTGGTACTCCTTATGATATTTTATGAGTTGAATCAAATAAAATAAAAATATGTATTAGATACCACTATGCCCAAGGGATTATGAGTGGCTTTAAAAAAAAAAAAATCACACAAGCCATCATTCCTATTCTTCTGGTGTAGTTGGAAAGATACTCAAGAATGTCCATGAAAAAATTGTAACAATTATGCAACACTGAGAATCTGCGTATCACATGGGTGGGTGATGGAGGCAGTTAGGGTTACAGGAGCTCAGAGGACAGAAAGAGGTTGCAGTGAAAGATGAGAGTCAGAAAAGGACAGTGATGGACTGACTGAGTTCATAATAATGAGTAATACATGAACTTGTATGTGTTGGAGTTGATTCTGACTCATAGCCACCGAACAGGACAGAGCAGAACTGCCCCCAAAGGGTAGGCTGTAATCTTTGAGGAAGCAAAGCACCAGGTCTTCTCTTGCACATATCCACTGGATGCTTTTGACCTGTTGACCCTCCTTAACTGCCTAGCGCTTAACCATTGCACCACCAGGGCTCAATAGATGCGGTTAGGTTCCATAAAGGCAGGAGGTCTATTTTAATTCATTTTCCCAGCATCTAGATCAAGAGTGGCACACACTGTAGGCACACAGTACACAGGAATGAATAAACGACAAAGAGTGTATAATGACCAGGTTGTAGATTGAACCTGGGAGCTCTGGTAGTAGTGCCTAAGGCACTTGACTGCTAACCAGAAGCCTGGCGGCTCAAACCCACCAGCCACTCCTCGGTAGTTAGGTTTTGCAATCTACTTCCTAGTAGTACCGCCTGGGAAACCCAAGGAGGGGTCGCTATGAATCGGTCTGACTCCACGGCACATAACAACAACAACAACAGATTGAACCTGATGGATAAAAAGGTTGAAAACAGGTCAAGAAATGTTACATTAGAGATTCAATCTCCAGAACCCTAAATGCTTAAATACCAACTCTTTTCACTTCTCCCAAGTATATGGAGGGGAACGGGCTTTGCTGGTTTTGGTCACTACTGTAACTGCCGCGTCTAAAACAGTGCTCCGAGAATCAACAAATATTGATTGAAGGGTCCTATGAGTTGCCCTCTCGCCTTCGCACAAATGGAGGTCAAACAGCACCTCGATTTCAGCGCTTCCATTGGCCATTGCAACATCCACCAGATACTATCTTGGCTCTTCCACAGCAGAGTTCCATTTCTGTCGCCAGGATACTACCAGGTGCTCGCCCAGTGCCCAGACCTGACAGTCAATACCAGCGGGATGATGCATTATTGAAATTACTGCCTAAATGCCGGATAAACCACACCAGTTGCTCTAACTTGCCCAGTTGCCAAGCGTCAACTTTGGGCCAGATGACGCATGCGTCGTAGGTGGGCGGGGGGTGGAGATGGCCCTGTATACAAAGCGCGCGGCCGCGCCTCCAGGTCGCGCGAGTGGGCGGACGACGCATGCGCGGGCGGAGGGGTCTTAAGGACGGCGACGGCCCAGGGTGGCCCAGTCGGCCTGTCAGCCGGCTTCGAGGCACGATCTGGTGCTTACGCAGCGGTGGCGACCATGGCGGCTGAGGAGGAGGCGTTGGACTCGGCGGATCCCGGAGAGAGGTAAGTGCTGCCGGGGCTGCGCCGTACTCGAGCGCGCGCCTTCCGCGCGATGTAGATGCGGGCCTAGCGGTAGCGCTAAGGATTCGTAACTTGTTTGGGGGCCACTGGCAGTTCCGTCCTGTGTCTCTGGGCTGAGTTCGCGCAGCGCCGGGAGTTCCGACCCCGCTTTGCCCGGGCAGTCACCCGTCAGAGCTGGGCCCAGGAGGTGTCTGAGTACGACACGGGCAGCGCCGGGAGGCCGCCTTGACGCCGACCCAGAGGGGCCGCCCTGTTGTTGTGTAAGCGGTTTCGCGGGGCGGGTGGCTGAGGAAGGGTGACCTCGGCGCCCGGACCCGGGGTCTTTCTCCGCGATGGGTCGCTTTTGGGGTACGCGTGAATTCAGACTGCCCCTGCCCAGCGCTGCCGGCGAGCGATGTCTGGCCTGCCCTGGACCTGATTTGGAGTCACGAGAAACGGTCGAGTCACTTTGTGCACTTCCGAGCGTGGCTTCAGTCTCCAGGTATGCACTGTGATTGGTCCATCCTTGGGTAAGACCCAAAGTCCTGGCTGGGCTGGTCTTCCCTAAAGACTGGGGGATGGGGCGGTGCTTCCTTGGTCAAGTAAGATAGAACCAAAAATCAAACCTACTAGGGTCTTAGGTCGCTCAGTCTTCCTTCCAAGGAGTGGCTGGTGGGTTTGAGTCGCCAGTCTTGTAGTTAGCAGTCAAATGCCTTAGGCACTACGCCACCAGAGCTCCCAGGTCCACTCAGACTCGTAGAAACTCTACAGGAGGTAGTGAACGAAAGGTCTATCTACGTTTTATCTACGGAAAATCGCGCCTATAGCAAGCACTGAAATTGCGCCCCTGTCCAAATTTCTGACACTCATCTTTTAGATAACTTTACCATAATATCAGCTTAAAAGTACAAGTCAAGCTCATTAATCTTTTACTTAACACATTTTGGCTCTACATGAAAATTACAGTTGCACTTTTCACTGATGAAAATTGGGCTATGATGTGCTCAAAGTCATTTTGTTTTTCAATTTCTTCTTTTTCTACAAACTCAGTAGAACAAGATCACACGGTTTGTCTTGACCCATGGAGGTATTCCAATCTGAAAGTATTAGTTTTAACTTGCTGAATGATCTCTCACGGCTTGTGATGGAAACTGCAATGATTAACAGAAATTGCTCAGTGGCCCCCTTCAAGTGGCACCAAGGGCACCATACCTGCTATGCCTTCGGTACGCCTTTAGGTAGAACCGCCCCGTCGGATTTCCTAGCAGTAAATGTCTACGGAAGCAGACAGCCACTCTTTCTCCCACAGCGTGGCTGGTGGATTCCAACAGAAGTTCTTTTGATTAGCAGCTACCAGGGTTCCTTTGGAGTTGAGAGATAGAGATTCCAAAATCACCAAAGAAGTGGCCAGAGATAAAGGGCTGTGGAAGGGAAGAATTGGAGGTGTGGTGTATGGTTTTGAACTTAAGAACCGTTTAACTTACAAATATAGAGAGGAGGTTAACATTTAAGATAGGGGTAACAAGTTAAAAAGTAATAATTAATCTTTCAAATGGAGATGTCCCTTTGTTGCCGAGCCCCCTCCCCTTTTTGTGTGTCAGTATCTGTGATTAATTATGGCTTTATTGGAGAAGTTTGTGTGTTTCTTTAAATGAGAAGACACAGGAGGAAACTTTATTGAAGTTGAAAGATAAATAACTAATGTGAAGCTTTTTGATATATAAATATATTACATTTACGTTATTTTTTTACATGTAACTAACTTCATGTGCTTATTAGAATAAAAGTAGTGGAAGAATTAAATTGCTATGAACAATATTGCCTTATTTCTCAAGGCTAGTCATCTGTATTGGAAACTAGACAGACTAAACTAAACTAAACTCCTCTCCCCCATTTATGTTTAATTTTTTGACAATAATCTATTTTAAATGTCTAGAAATTTGCATATGGAACATAACCTAAATTAAAAAAAAATATTATTGAGTACCATGAATACAGGGATCTTTGGAAAGATACCTAAGGTAGAAAATTATGAAATACTAGAAACTAGGTTCTTCCTTTGAGTTTTGCTTGTGTGATGAATAGATCCACTGTTTTGGTTTATTGGTAACTTCCTTGTTACATGGAGGTGGGATGCTGAATGTCACATGACACAAGAAACTAACTGATAGCTTGTTCTCTTTTGTTTTGTCACAATGTTTGGCTTTTGAGCCTACTTTTGGGTATACTCTTTGGCCTGGGGGGTTGTGGGTCTTGAGAGTCCAAGGCATAAACATGAAAGTGATTGTGACTTTGGGTGATGGCTTGAGGTCTTTGGGAGCATCCTAAAAGAACTCCTTAGCAACTGACCTTACAGTTTCTAGAGGACAATGCATTTGAACAGGGCCTGTCGTCCCAACTGGTATGGCCTTCAGAACTATACCAAGCAGACAAGCAGTGAATTAGCCTGTTGCTAAGCCCCTGTGCCTGCTGGGTATTCCCCACATGTTCTTATTAAGCCTATAGTCAGTCCTGTGTGGTAGGTTTTTTTTTTTTTTTTCTCATTTTCTGGGTGAATTTGAGACTGGGAGAGCTGTTTCCCGCCAGCAAGTAGCAGGACTGGGTTGAAGTCCCCAGTAGTGTCTGGATTTGGTCTAAGGAATTTTTCCCATAGTGCTCCTGAATCACTGGGATTGAGACTCATGTGGGATGTGCTTGGCTCTTGTTTCTTTTGCTTATTTTACTGACACATCATTATTTAATCCTTGCATTGACCCAGAACACACTTCTCTTTTTTTCTTTTCTTTTTAAAGTTGGTTACTCCACAATAGAAGTATCCCAAGAGCCAAGTGGAAAAGAGCAATCTTGAATCAAGTTTCCTGTCCTTAAGATTTTTCACCTTTAGACTGGGAGATGGATTAACAAAGGAAAGGGTTATAAAACTGTCACCTGAAGGCTTTTTGGAGCAAGTTGATTCTGGTCTCTTCCTCTTAGTGAAGACAGGCATGCTTAGGAACCATTTTTATTTTCAACATCCAACCCTTTTCGTTTGCAATACAGTTGAGAAAGCTAAATGTAACAAAAGTAGGCCAGACTTCTCTGAATTACTGTGAGATTCTTCTAGAGAATGATTAAGTATGAGTTGAGCTTAGAGGAAAGCTGCCACAGATAAGAATTGCTCAGTTGCAGGATAGACTATAAAAGAGGTAGTTTGCAGCGTGGTGTGCTGGAGTTGGCTTGCACAAGCAAGCTATTGCTAAATTTTCAGGAATTTTGCCAACTGTTGGCAGCTTGAAATCAGCCATGGTGGGAGTATTTATACCATGGAAATCATCAAATGCTACAAATAAGAGATTTTCTCCCCCTACCTCTCCATGGACTGCCAGAAGAACGAACAAATCTGTCTTGAAAGAAGTACAGCCAGAAGGCTCCTTAGAAACAAGGATGGCGAGACTTCGTCACATGTACTTTGGACATGTTATGAGGAGGACATCATGCTTGGTAAAGTAGAGGGTCAGCGAAAAAGAGGAAGTCTCTAAACAGATGGATCAACACAATGGCTACAACACTAGGCTCAAACTTAGCAATGATTCTGAGGCTGGCACAGGACCGGGCAGTGTTTTGTTCTGTTGTACGTGGGGTCACTATGAGCCGGAACCAACTTGTTGGCACCTAACAGTAACCTGCCCATAAAAGTAGTTTACCAAGTTGGCACCTAACAGTAACCTCCCATAAAGGTAGTTTACCAGCATCCCACTGGGTTTACATTAGCATTAGAATGTAGTACTTTGCCTAAGGGAACTCTGGTGGCATAGTACCTAAGGCATTTGACTGCTAACCAGAAAGCTGATGGTTCAAACCCACCAGCCACTCCTCAGAAGGAAGATTGGGCAATATACTTCTGTAGTGGTACCGCCTTGGAAACCCAAGGAGGGGTCACTGTAAGTTGGATCTGAATCGAAGGCAGTGAGTTTTAGTCTTTGCCTTACAGACTAAAAAAAAAAAAAAAATTGCCAATCAAGTAGATTCCAGCTCATAGAGATAGGGGAGTTGATTTCTCTATTTTATTGTTGTTATTGTTAGATGCCATCCAGTGATTTTCAGCACATAGTGACCCCATGTGACACAGCAGAACTGTCCCTATAGAGTTTTCTTGGATGTAATCTTTACAGAATCAAATTGCCAAGTCGTCCTTCCACTGGGTGGATGGTGGATTAGAACTTCCAACCTTTGGTTAACAGCCAAGTGCTGAACTTTTGTGCCTCCAGGGCTCATTTTTTAACCCTTTGAAAGACTGCTCTCCTTCTTCCCAGCAGCTAGGTTGCTGGGAAGCTCAGTGTCTTCCTCCCTGTTGCCATCTCCCCTTCCCAAACCTTTGCTGCCTGACTTCTTTTAAGAAGTTGGGGGACTGTTCAATGCCATATCCCCATGGCCTTTTCTTTTTTCTGAGTTCTTAAGTCTTCTTGGATCCTTTTTTAGTATTTGACATTGTAATGATAGCTTCTCCTTTTTGAAATGTTTGCTTACTAGACATTCTAGCTCTTAGGGCAGTTTAGTTCTTTTCTACCTCAGACCAGTAATCACATTTATGAAGTCCTCTTGTTTTCCCCATTTTCTAAATATAGATATTTCCTAAGATTCTGACTTCATCTTTGTTTTTATTTTGGTCTCATTCCCTCACTCTCCTTGCATTGTCCTGTCTGTGGGGAGGACTGACTTCTCATCCTCATGCTAGAGCCCTCTTTTCTCTAATCACGTTCCCATTTTTGTGCCAGATATTTGCACCTGACCCCTCAAATTTAACATCTCTAGACCAGGACTTTATGTACACTTTCCTTCCCCCAAACTAAATAATACAGAATGCCCAGTTTTCCCCCTTGACTTCCCTGTTTCTAATAGGGCAGGTATGTTCTTCTGGGTCATCCAGATTCAGAACTGTAGCTTTAGTTTATGACTCCTCCTGCCCCAGTCATTGCCCCTGGATACCAAATCTGTTACTAAGTCCAGTAGATTCAAAGTCTGCA